AGACAGGGATTCACCATGTTGGCCAGGCTGGTCTTAAACTCCTGATCTCGGGTGATTCACCTGCCTCAGCCTCCCCAAGTGCTGGGATTACAGGCGTGAGCCACCGCACCTGGACTGTTAACGGGTTACTGATAGAAAAGTTGTCTTGAAACCAAATCAGGCTGTGTGTGAACTTCCCCTTCTTGATGACCTTCCTGTGCTCACAGGAATCCGCACGTGCTCTGGTGCCCACACTCTGCCCTTTATGTTATTGGTAGAAGGAGAAATCTTATGGTGGGAATGAAGATTGAGAAGAAAGGGATTAGCAAGACTTAAATGAAAAGAATTTAGTAGTAAGAATAATTTTTAAAATATCACATCTGATATTTTTTACAATATCAAATTTGGTCAGTTTGCTGTTATGTGCAGGGTTTATACAGAAGTTTGTTTTTCTGAACAAGAAAGATTTATAAGAAAATTATTAACATTTACAATAATAATATTATTATGTTAAGTGCCCATTAGGCCAGATGTCTAAAAAATAGTAATAACTTATCTCCAATCTTAACAAAATCACAGCAAGGGAAATGTCGTTTTCCCATTTCACAGGTGTAAAAACCTCAAGACAGTCACTGGTTACAACAGAGGCAGGATTCTCAGTCATGTCCCTCCAGAACTAGTATGGCTCTTTAAAATTCATTGTTGTCTTTCCGATTACAGGGAAGAAGTTTGTAGACTGACAGGTGACTTCTCAACCAAAGTAATTAATAATATATCAGCAAAAATTATTATTTAAGAATAGTTAAATAAATACTTTTCAGACATATAGAAACTGTCTTGTTACCAGAAGACCCACATTAAAGGAAATATCAAGGGTGTTCTTCAGGAAGAATGAAATAATCCCAAATCTTGACAAAAGACACGCACACACACACACGCATACACACCCCAAATCCCAAAACAATAAACAACAACAATAACAAAAAACTAAGAGAGAATTAAATAATCACAAAGGGTGAATATGCAGAATGATTCATGACCACATATAACAATAACACGACTACCAATAATCACGTGAGGAGTTTACCCACACGCAAACAAAATTAAATGTATGCAAAATTACATTTAAATCAAAAAGCGCATAAATGAAGTTAAGCAATTCTAAGATTTTTGCTTATTCCTGGAAAAGAAGAAAAGTCATAATTCATATAACCTTTAATATGTCAATCATCCATATTGCAATCTTTATGGCGATTACTTAAAAATAGTAACATTATTTATAATTTCCTTATTCATAGGGAAAATATGTAAAAAAAAATTCTAATTTTAAATAAGAAAAAACAAAACAGGAAAAACAGAAAAGCAAAAGCAGAGTAAGTTGACAGCCCAAATATATTAAGAAATGTATTACATATAAGGAGACTGCAACTAAATTAAAACAAAAATGAACATCTCTTTGAATTAAAATAAAATGATATTTATAGGAGATTCACTTAAAACAGAGATAAAGATTGAAAAAATTAGACCATGCAAGCAATACCAAAGAAAGATTTTGTGTCTAGAAAAATATCTGACAAATTAGCCTTTAAGATAAAATTTACAACTAGATAAAGAGACTTCATAAAAGTTTAAAATCATTGAGGAAATAGAACGATTCTTAATGTGCTTGCATCTAAATGGTTTCACCTCAAAACATGATTATTTTGGGTGACATTGAATATATGCTTCTACATGTGTTCTGATTTGTTTTTTAAAATCTCTATCTATTAGTCCGTTTTCACACTGCTGTAAAGATACTACCCAAGACTGGGTAATTTATAAAGGAAAGAGGTTTAATTGACTCACAGTTCCACGTGGCTGGGGAGGCCTCAGGAAACTTACAGTCCTGGTGGAAGGCGAAGGGGAAGCAAGGACCTTCGTCACATGGCGACAGAGGAGAGCAGTGTGAGTGCAGGAAAATTGCCACTTATAAAACCCTCAGATCTCCTGAGAACTCACTCACTAGCATGAGAACAGCATGGGGGAACCACCCTCATGATCCAATCACCTCCTTTCCTTGACACGTGGGGATTACAAATGGAGATGAGATTTGGGTGAGAACACAGAGCCGAACGGTCTCACTGTATTTCTAGTTGTTTACGATAAATATATGAGGAACTGCTATAGGAGTAAGTAAGAAACTACTCACGTTTGTTGAGCGTATGATTAGCCCCCGGCAAGCAGTCAATAAATGGCAACTGGCATCGTCACCCATGTCACCATCATCATTAACCTTTCTGTAATCGGAACAGAACAATCGTAAATTAGGACAGGGAGAGCTGGAGTCCTGCAGAACTAATTGTTTTTACTATAATCTATTCATAAAAGCAAAGCGTGGGCTGGGCGCGGTGGCTCACGCCTGTAATCCCAGCGCTTTGGGAGGCCGAGGCGGGTGGATCACAAGGTCAAGAGATCGAGGCCATCCTGGTCAACATGGTGAAACCCCGTTTCTAATAAAAATACAAAAAATTAGCTGGGCATGGTGGCGCGTGCCTGTAATCCCAGCGACTCAGGAGGCTGAGGCAGGAGAATTGCCTGAACCCAGGCAGCGGAGGTTGCGGTGAGCCAAGACCGTGCCATTGCACTCCAGCCTAGGTAAAAAGAGCGAAACTTCGTTTCAAAAAAAAAAAAAAAGCAAAGCGTGAGAGTCATTTGTCTCACCTGGCGTTTATAAGCCATCCTCCCTGAGACATTTAGGGCTCATCAGATGCAGGTCATGGAAAATACTAAAATATAAC